TTTGAATTTTGAATAACTTAGTTTGAGTATTTTATTTCAGTACAGTCACAAAAAACACTTTAATTTTACAAATTTGTGTTTAACAAAATACTAAATTTAAAACTAAACTTCTTTTATCTTCTAATTTCTCTATATTCTTTTATCTTTTAAAACTATAACTTCTTATGTTTTAATGTGCGTAATAATGCGTGGTGAAAACAAAATAATTAAACGTAAAGCGTGATGACTATTTCAATCGGGACGTGAGAATAGAAACTCTTATTACCGCTTATAAGCAACAATTTATAGGAAATTATAGCAATGGTCTGTAACGTCTTTTCAACGGTTGTTAACGAATTTTTAACCATCCTTTGAACGAGCTTATTAATGGGTCTTTAACAACAAATGGGTCTTTATTTAAAAGTGTCTTTATTAAAGACACTTTTTTATAATCGTGAACGTTACAATGTTGGCGTAAAGGGTTGGTTCAAGTTACTTGTTTTTGGGGTGACTCAGTTTTTTTATTGAGGTAGATTGAAAACAAATGAGAAAAAACTTGAGAGATTTATGCGACATTTTCAACTAAATATTTTTGATCTTTTTTTATAGTAAAATACATTTAAGATTAAGTATATTGAAATGGCACCCGGCGAAGACCTAATAACAGCCGAACATTTTAAACACCTAAGTGATAATGTTCATAGCATTAATCAAGTCCTGAAAAGGTTAAAAAAGCAAGAACTGACAACTGTTATGGGTGATTTCAACGCCAAAGTTGGAGCCAGCAAAACATCATCTGCAGTTGGACCATTTGGTCTAGGAAACCGGAATAATCGGGGAGATACATTGGAGATTTTTGCGGAGGCAAATAAATTAGTAATAATGAATATCTGGGTTAAGCAACACCCAAGGAAACTGTACACCTGGAAATCTCCACAGGATACTGTGGGAAAGATTGTAAGAAATCAGATTGATTACATTCTAGTAAATAAGAGGTATAGGAACAGCTGCATATTTGTCAAAACATATCCGGGGGCAGACATAAATGCTGATCATGTACCAGTTGTAGGTAATTTCAAAGTCAGAATGAAGAAGGTTACAAGTAAGTCGATGAAGAAGTATGATTTTAAAAACTGAAAGATCCCAATGTTCGAGTGAAGGTGAGTGGAAACCTCAATACAAGGGGGCTAACATGCAAAAATGCAGAAACTATAGAGGAAAGTCTAACCATCATATAAGAAACAGTGGGAGAAATAAAACAACAACACCTGAAAAAAGACACAGAGAAACGCAAATCGTGGATGACCGATGAAATACTTGAGCTTATGGATCAAAGAAAAAAAACAAAGAAAATCTCTAAGAATATAAGAGAATACATACCATCGTCAGAAAAAAAAATAAGAGAAGCCAAAGAGAAACAAAAAACAGAACAATGTCAAGAAATAGAAGAGTATCAGAGTCGATATGATAACTTCAATATTCATCGAAAGGTGAAGGAAATAGCTGGAAAGTTTCGAAAACGCAACAGCGGAAAAATAACAGATAATGAAGGCAACCTTGCCATAACCAAAGAAGATAAAAAAAAGTATGGGAAGAATCCTTGGGGGAACTTTTCCATGATCTTAGAACAGTACAAGAGCCCACCGTTGAAGAAAATTCAGGTCCCGAAATCGTACCAGAAGAAATAACGGCAGCCGTCAGACAAATAAAAGATGTAAAGCCACCGGGACTTGATAAAATTCCTGCAGAACTGCTGAAGCTATTAGATACAGAACAAAGAAAAATAATAACTGATATATTTAATGAAATATACAAGGCAGGAAAAATACCAGTAGAGTGGCTTAAATCGGAGTTCGTACCATTGCCCAAAAAACCAGGAGCAAAAGTTTGTGAAGATTATAGGACAATAAGCCTAATGAGCCATCTGCTGAAGCTGCTTTTAAAGGTTATCCACAAAAGAATTTACCGCAAATGCGAGGAACAAATTGCGCCCAATCAGTTTGGATTTGTGAACGCCGTTGGTACGAGGGAAGCTTTATTTAGCGTGCAGATCTTGTTTCACAAATGTAGAGATGTCAGCTGTAATGTTTTTGCATGCCCGATTGACTACAAGAAGGCTTTCCATAGAGTCAGGCATGAACAAATGATGGAAGTGCTGAAGAGGACAGGGATTGATGGAAGAGACTTAAAAATTATGGCTAATCTGTATTGGAATCAATCAGCGGTACTCCGAATAGATGGAGAATATACAGAACAGGTCAAAATCTTAAAAGAAGTGAGACGGGGGTGCATAATTTCACCACTGATATTAAATCTGTACTCGAAGCACATTTTTGAAGAGGCCCTAAAAGATATTGATTAAGGCATCTCAATAAATGGAGTCAAGCTTAATAACCTGCGGTATGCAGATGATACAATAGTGTTTTCCAATACCATAGAAGGGCTGCAAAACTTAATAAACAAAATAACAGAAACAAGTAGAGCCTATGGACTGGATATAAACACCAGCAAAACCAAGCTTATGATCATCAGCAAGCAAAACATAACTGGAGCAAATCTGTATGTGAACCAAATGAGAATTGAACGTGTCTCACAATACAATTACTTGGGAACTATAATCAATGAGTCGTGGGACAATACCCAAGAGATTAAATGTCGCATCGAAAAGGCCAAAAGTGCATTCTTGGCTATGAGCTCTGTGTTCAAAAGCCATGACCTCACCCTGAAAACAAAAATAAGGGTCCTTAAATGTTACGTGTACTCAGAGTAGAAACGTGGACATTGAATGCGGAAACTCTATCAAAACTTCAGGCGTTTGAATTACGGTTATACAGAAGAATCCTGAAGATACCATGAACAGACAAAGTCAACAATGAAGAAGTACTGCAGAGGATGAACACAACCGCGGATTTAGTCAACATTGTGAAGAGCCGTAAGCTGGAGTACTTGGGACATATAATGAGAAATCAAGGCAGATACGAGCTACTCCAATGCATTTTGCAGGGTAAAATTGAAGGAAAAGAGCCCCAGGACGAAGAATAATATCCTGGCTTGCTAACCTGAGAGCATGGTATAGAAATACCTCAACACAGCTATTTCGTATGGCAACCAACAAAATCATCATAGCCAGAATGATCGCCAACATTCGAAACGGACAGGCACCCTAAGAAGAAGAAGAAGTAATAATGCTGTCAAGAAATTAACATACCTCTGCAACAGTATACATATATGAATATGGCATAATACCGCATGACTGGCTAACATCCACATATATAGCTCTTCCTAAAAAACAAAAAGCAAGGGAATGTGAAGAACATCGAACTGTATCCCTAATGAGTCATGCCTCTAAGATTTTTATGCGAATAATTTATTATTGTTATGATTAATATGAGTCGTTCTCAATATGGTTTTAGAAAGGGTAAAGGCACTAGAAAAGCAATTATGGGATTGACACTGATCGCAGAAACCTATCTTGAGGTTCAAAAAGGCTATATATGTGCTTTGTCGATTATAAAAAGGACTTTGACCGCATCAAACATGGACAATTGATTGAGGTGCCAAAAGAAGTAGGGTTGGACGGACACGACATAGCTATCATAAGTAATATATACTAAAACCACACAGGATGCGTTCGCACAGAAAACGGAAAACCAAGTACATCAACATAGAACGAGGAGTGCATCAATGGTGCATTTTGTCTCCTCTATTATTTAATGTATATGCCGAACATATAATTAGAGCTTCTCTGATCGCCCTGAAGGTGCTAGAGTCAATGGAATTCCACAGTCAATAGTATTAGCAGAAACAGAAACCAACTAAAAATATTAATAAACATATTATCAGAATAAAAGTCACGGGCTGGCCTGAACATTAACTTTTCCAAAACCAAAATTCTGGTATTCCACAGAAACCCCCATGAACAAGTTAAACCTAACATACAAACAAATTATATCACCCTTCATAGTTTCCAAAGCTTCATATACCTTGGGAGAGAGCTAAATAGTCAACTAGACCACTCAAAAGAAAGTAGAACACGCAATAAAATAGCAAGATTTGGTTTCATAAATATGCGTAAAATGCTCTGTAACCCCAAGCTATCAGTCTCAATAAGATTGAGAACACTAAAGTGTTATGTGTGGTCTCTATTACTAAATGGCTGTGAGACCTGGACATTAAAACAGTATGACGTCAACAAATTAAATTCATATGAAATGTGGATGTACCGCCAAATGTTAAGAATTCTGAAAATGAATTAATTCATCAACCCAGAACATAGAAATTTACCATATGATCGCCAACCTCAACAGAGAAGGCACTTAGGAGTACTAAGTACTCCTAAGTGCTTATATATTTATTAATAATATATAGTATATATCTAGTACTATATATTATTAATAAAGGAAATATATTACGACCGTTTAAAAATGCAAAAAGGAAAAGAATTGTTAACCACTATGAAAACAGCCAAAATCCAATACCTCGGTTATATCATGAGAAACAACGAAAGATATGGGTTGCTGCAATTAATTCTACAAGGAAAAGTAGAAGGAAACCAAGGACCAAGAAGGCAAAGGATTTCATGGCCGAAAAATCTACATACGTGGTTCAACACAACAACCACACATCTGTTCAGATCAGCAGTTTGCAAAATACAGATTGCCAAGGTGATCGCTAACATCCGAAACGGATACTCACTATTAGAAGAAGAAGTATTAAGAGAGAAATATGTTTTAGCGATGTGTTACAAGGCTGTAACACTAAATATTATAAATTTATCGGATATTGGTATTTATTTAACATAGTTATATTTTTTTAACTCTTTACATGGTTTTGTTTTATTAGTTTGCAGTTCCTTTTGTTCATCATTACTGCTTGACGGCATTTTGTAGTAGGAATTGTTTAGAATATTTTGACTAATATCAGTTATTGATTGGTTTAAAAATGATTCCTGTAGCAACTAACATTCGTTACCTCATAAAGATTAATCGATAATATATTCATTACACAATGTTTTGTTTCAGTAAAAATGAGAAATCATACAGCTCGATCAACTCCCAAGAAAAGAAATTTTGATGGTTGGATTTGTTCCCCCCATATGATAAATTTAGGAAATCGTTGCTATATATTTAGCACAAAAGAAACCACTTGGACTGATGCGCATTTTGAATGTAGGAGAAATGGCACTAAGTTGGCAATAATTAGAAACAAATCTCAAGATCACAACTTAAGAATGTTCTTAAATAACTTTATTGGTAAGTTATACCTATACTATAAATAACGTGTAATTATAAAATGACACTTGTATATATGACTGGTTTCCGTATTTGTTTAACCTTCCATTGTCCATTTTTGGACATGGGTGTCTTCCAACTTCTTTTATCGATCTCTATCCTGAGCAGCATGCTTCCAATTTGTTCCGGATATTTGTTTTTTTGATATCATCTACCCATCTCATATGTGGTGTTCCTCTTGGTCGTCTACCTTTATAAAGTTTACAATGTTGTATTGTGATGTTTCAACGTTGGTCTTTTGTAAAGCAGTATGGTCTGCGAAGCTACCTTTGAATTTGACAATTTTGGTTGTGACATACTTAACTTTTGTTTTTGATCTTATCCAGTCGTTCCTCTTTCTATTTGACTGTCCTATACCTAATATTGCCCTTTCCTTTGTTCTTTCTGTTGTTATCTATCTATATATCTATCTATATAAGGTCTCGTCTTTACATGGCCTCGTCTACTTCATCCTTCCATGATCTTCTCAGGGGAACTCCTCTATATAGTCCTATCAGGGAAAATGAATCAATTCCTGCCCTCCGCAGATTTCAGGGGTTTTCTGACCCGGGAAACTAGTACCTGCTTAGAAAAATACCTTCGGAAACGTGGATGGAGGAAGTGGCAATCCTCTGATTTTAGGGATTCTATAGAATCACTCGCCAACCTGATCGGCAAGCGTGGCGTTTTAAATATGCTAAAACCTCCCAAGTTGAAGAGGTAAGTATCAATACGAAATTAACCCAGGTGAGTAGAGTTACACACTCAGAATCTCACACTGAGAAATCAGTCATGGATTCTGGGGGAGGCAAATATTCGACTGAATCTAATACGAAAAACTACCCATCATTGCTTCGTATAGCCACTTACAATATAAGAACTATGAGGACCCAAAAACACCTTGAGAACTAGAACAAGAGCTCTCAAATATCAAATGGGATATAATTGAACTGTGCGAAACTCGCTTACCAGGAGAAGCATGTACCATATTATAATCTGGTCACCAGCTATAATAGGAAAACTCCGTAGAAAATTATCATATAGGCGGTGTAGCGTTCCTGATAAACAAACAAGCTCCCTATAAAGTAACGAAGTTCTGTGCAGTATCAAACAGAGTCATATATCTTGTCATCGCTTTAAACAGCAGATACAGCTTAGAGATAATACATGGATATGCACCGACAGAACACTCAACAGACGAGGAAGCTGAATCATTTTACGAGGATCTGACAACAGCAAGGAACCAAGAAAAATCACACGTCGTTCTGAACGAACAATAATTAACATCTGCTCAGAAGAAATAATACAATAACAAATCGTCGTCATCTTCTTCTTCTTGCAGTAAAAATTAAAGCATTTCGTAATCTATATTTTTATGTAATACTCAACCTCAACAGTTTTATGCAGCCACGTAACTAGAGTAGCTGCTGCTGACTTGAGAAACAATACGACATTCGTTGTCGGAATGGTACCTTAAGGCTCTCATCTACATATCTAGAGTATTTATGTGTAACTAAGTATATATATTGGGTTTACGTCACTTGTTTTATAGTACTTCATGAGATGGTTACTCAGAAAAAGTGTTGTAAAGGCGAGATTATAAACGTATTATCCGAAACAATAATGGCATAATACGACACAAGTTTTTGAAATCGTCTGCTTATCTCATAATACTGCTAAATATATGATTTAGTCTTTAGATTTAGTTTTATAGATTTAGTTTTTAAATATTTCTCATTTTTACATTATCGGTAGCACTAAATTTTTATTTCGTAAGATATGCATCGTCATATGGCGCTATAAATTGATATTTATGTAAAATCAATAAACAATCATACACAGAGCTTAAACATGTACAATTTTATGACAGTATAAAGATAAATAAAAATATGTTCATCAAAGGTTCATTCAAAATACGATTTTATTGCTTGTGTCCTAGATTTTAAATTTTGAATGTTGGGAGACAGGGACGGAACCAAATAAATTAGGTGATTACTGATTAGCATCGTTAGCTTGGGAAAGTTAATATAAATATTAAACAAGCCTACGTCCTTATACAATAGACAAGTCAGTAGAAAACCTAGAGTGATTTGATTAACAGCTAGACGAAGTCTTAACTAAGACTGTGACTAAGAATCACGAAATTAACATCATATTAGAAGATTTTATCGCAAAAGTTGGAGAAGGAGCCGTAGATCACGTAGTTGAAAAAATATGTGGCAATGATTACGTGGCAATTAATAGAAAAGTACAGAAATGCTATTACTAAGGTTTCTGCACTATCTGAAGTAAACATACGATTCAACCACCATCACTTAAATGCTAATATTAAACTGATGCTGGCTACAGCCAAAATAAAGAATATTAGGAAACTCAAAAACAATCAATGCAAGAGAAGCATATACAGAATAAATAAACAATAGATGCTCTGATATGGCAACTGTCAATGATGTCGTTAGAGAGTCATGGACCACCATAAAAGAATCATTTAATGGTGTAAACAACACTCTTCTTTTTCAAAGTAAAACAACTACCAAGAATGAGAGAATTACACAACATAATTGATATATAATCACTATAAACGAATCAGAAATGACAAGAAATACTTTAGTTAGACAAATAGAAAGGGAACACTGGTAGAGCTTCTCAAAACAGATGGAACACGACTTCTACGGAACACAAAAAGAAATATGGAAAATGATCAGAGAACAAAGAAAAAAGATAAACGAATTAAAAAAAACGAAACACATTTATATGGAAACATGGGTAGCTACTTTCGATCCCTAATTGCTGAGATGACGACTAACGACAAAATCAATATTGAGAATGAAGAGGTAAAGAAAGCATTAAGGAAATAAAGAAATTAAAAATCACCAGGAGAGAACACAATACTGAACAAACTCCTAAAGTATGGAGAATCAGATATGACCAAACATCTATTCAAACTAGTTTAAAAAATAGAAGAACAAAACAGAATTCCTCAGGAATGGAGAATAAGCATCCTAATACCTCTCTTCAAAAAGGGAGACAAATTGAACTCGGAAAATTACAGAGGAATTAATTTATTAAGCATACTAAAATTAACAACCAAAGTAATAAACAACAAATAAACTGAATAAAATTATAAGACTAGCAGAAGAGTAACAAGGTTTTAGGTCGGGAAGATCATGCATCAACGCTATATTTATAATAAAGCTAGTGTAAGAGGAATCACTAGAATAGAACAAACTGGTATATCTATGTTTTGTGGGCCTCAAGAAGGCATTTGAAGAGGTGAAATTGAAGGGCTAAAAGAAGAGATATTAATCGTAGAAAAATTAAATGTCTCCTGAAAGTGAAAGCTCCTGAAAGTGAAAGTCTTCTTAGGAACTACGAACCTAAAAATGGCATTTTAAAAACTACAGTCAAACTAAACGATGCGACATTTTTTAGCAACAAAACTCTATACATTTGTAAAATTCTTATTTTCTCAATACAATTTACAGCTACAATCCGTTTATTTTTATATTATGTCCTAGCTAGACTTTTATAGATTTATGTATTTTATTTCAACGTTATTTTCCTTTTTCATTAGCTACCTCCAATGAAAGTGGTTTAAATATAAACGAAGGTAAATGTATAAAATGGTTTTTGACATAATTTGGTTGAAGTGTGCTAATAACTAAAATTGGTTTTGTGTTTGTGTTAATGACCTTTTAGAAATGTTTTCTTGATGTATAATGTATATAATCTTATTCAGTTATCATTAAATACAGTGATGTGGCGTTTGCACATAGCATTTGACTTTATATTTAACATTTTACAAAATCTACAGGTGGCATTTTATTCGTAAACAACTCTTACTAAATATCCCTTTTAATAGAGTAAACTACAATATTCATGCTTGTAGTAAAGAATAATAAATTTATAAATTATTATTTTTCTACTTAAATACACAAAACCAACGCCGTCGACAACGCGCCTGCAAGGAATGCACTGCAAGGCGCCAATATTTGGGGAGGGAGCGTCAAAATGAGATTTGGATATGTTTTTTCTGCTGGTGATATACCGATTCCTAAAATAGTAATTGATTTTTAAATGTATTAAGTTCAATCATCTTACGCTAATCTGTGTTTGTCGTATTTAATTTAAATTACTTAATATTATTAAAATTTAACAAAGCAGTTTTATCAAAGAAACTCAATAACTTATTATTTTTGCTTCGAACGCCACCTATTAACGTATCAATAAACCATATATTGTTTACTTCTGATATTTCTGTCAAATTCAGATCAAATATTAAATTAATTATAAAATATAAATAAATATCATTAGATATTTAATCAAGTTTAATTATTACATAAGTTAAATAATATGTATAATAAATTAGAATTAAAAACAAGAAATTATCATTTACTTATATTTTCTGTGGAGGAGATTTTTTTTCCTGAACTTTATATAAAAATTGAATGAAACCCATTGGGGTAAAATTTAGGAAAACATAACTTCCAAGTTTTGGAGAAATGATGTTGTCTTATGTTCGATACAATTGCTTCAAAATTGTGACTTTTTGATGTAAGAGCTATTTGAATAGAGTCTTCGGCGTTTAATCGTTTTCTGTTCTTCGTTTTTATGTTCATTAGAGTGGAAAAGCCTTGTTCGCACAAATATGTTGTTCCAAATGGCAACATTTTTTTAACCGCCTTTTCATGTGCAATTTTGAAACCCTTTGCAACTCTTAACATTTAAAAGACGACATATTTGATTTACTCTCAAATTGTATACGTGCTTCAGTATTACATCGAAGTTTAAGAATTGCTTCTGCCAAATCTGAAGATTCATCTGGTATCATAGGAATTTCACATTTTAAGTTTTGAGAGTCCATACTCGATTTAGTCCATTTCCTCGTGAAAGCCACCTTAATTCTGTATAATAAAGTAGGTCCGTATATTTAGCTTCACCGTTCTGACGCAATTCACGAAATCGTTACGTTTTGTATATCCCTTGATAAAATTTACAATCTTGATGACATCATGAATGACGGTTTCCAGTGTAGTTTCTAAATATTTTACCATAAAGGCCTGGCGATGGATCATACAGTGAGTAACTTCAAAATTAGTTAATTTTTTTACGTAAGCCGAGAAAACCATTAATATGACCCAGTATAGCTGGAGCTCCATCCAAAGATACAGAAATACAGTTTTCCCATGTTAAACTTTGCGCATTGAAGTATTCATTTACTTTATTCTATTATATCAATTCCACTAGATCTCACCTAGAGGAGAACAAAACAGCAATTCCTCTTCAAAATTATATGCACCTTTGTAGCGAACATATACCATTAGCTGTGAATTGCTACTAAAATCAGTTGTCTGATCAAGCTTAATAGCAAAATATTTAGCCTGTTTTAATGCGAAAATAATCTGTTCCTTCACATTTTCTGGTAATATAGAAATTCGCTCTTTCACAATTCTCGCAGACAACGGCACTGAATTCAGTTTCTTTGCTTCTTTTGACCACACATAATCTCTGCAATTTTTACAGCAGCTGGTTTAACCAAATATTCACCAATAGTGCATGGTTTCTTATTTTGAGCAATCAACCAGGCTACTTCAAAGCTATTCCTTAATGCTGAACGCGAATTAAATGTACCAAACAAGTTGATATTCAATCTTTGTCTTTTAACAGATATTTCTACATTTGCAAAGTATTCTCGCGGTTTGGAAGACAGGTGTTAATGCAAATTATCTAAATGTTTCTTCAATTGACTTTTTTTGAAAGATTCTGAAGTCAGTACCTTCATAAATACAACACACTGTGGTTTCATTGTAACATTGTCTTCTATTTGTGTAAAACTGTAATTAAGGAATTCGACTTGGTATGTTCTTTTTCTATTTGCTATCATCTTATGGGAGACAGAAAATAATAGTTGTAAATCACTTGAATTAAATTTTCAAATTGCGGCTTACCTTGATCGATGCTTAATGATAAAATTGTGATCTTGTCAGCAACTAACTAGTAAAATCTCGCTCTCTGACTCGTCATGTATTCGTATCTTGACGGCATGGTACAGACTGAAGCAGGTAGCCGGGGCCCAAGGCTAGAGAAGTGACGATATAACAGGCACTATTATTAATAGCTGTTTACTAACAAAAATAACAGTGCCTAATAGTTATCCAATAAATAAGTTTCCAGTTATTCAGTTATTTTTTATATCAAGTCAGTTACTTGACTAAACGATCATGCAGTCCGGCATTACTCGCTTTTAATGCGTAATTTCCGAATTTTAACTATCTGAATAACCGTCTACCAGAATGTGGCCGTCTAACCAGCCGTGCTTTAAGCCGCGTTTACACAATGACAATTGGCGAGACAATTATCAGAAGACAACTTACTGGTATGAAATTATTGTCTTCGTCTAAAAACCTCAGGCCAATTGCCTTGCCAACTGCCCTTATAATTGGCCAAAAATTCACTTGTCTCCGGGAGTAGACTGAGGACAATGAGCTGCGTCCAGTGAGACCCCACCACTCGAAATCTCAATTGTCGTGACAATTGGCGCCGTGTGACACAGTGTAGGCCAGTAGTGCTGTCTTGTTTTTTGCCAGTTCCCTCTAGTTCTCTTATGTCAGTCAAAACATACACGTGGTTTGTGTTATTTGTAGCTGTCTACTGCCGCGTTTATACGATGACAATTGGCGAGGCAATTGTCATTGGACAATTATCATCACGTGGTTGCGGATTGTCGGAGGCCAGTCCGGTTGAATGAGAAGATGTTTATACGTGACCAACTATTGCCATGGCAGTAGACAGCTACAAATACACAAACTACGTGTATGTTTTGACTGACACAAGAGAACTAGAGGGAACTGGCAAAAAGAAGACAGCACTACTGGCCTACACCGTTCACACGGCGCCAATTGTCGCAACAATTGAGATTTCGAGAGGTGGGGGGTTGACTGGGCGCAGCTTATTGTCCTCAGTCTAATCCCGGAGACAACTGAATTTTGGGCCAATTGTAAGGGCAGTTTTCAAGCCAATTGGCCTGAAGTGTTTAGATGAAGACAATAATTTCATACCAGTAAGTTGTCTTTTTCGTGTAAACGCGGCTTAATTGTCCAATGACAATTGTCTCGCCAATTGTCATCGTGTAAACGCGGCTTTACTGCTCAAAGATATAACTCAAGCACACTTTAGTAGTGGGAAGTGAGATGGCGTGGCCTACGTACGTCGCTAAATTGTTTAAGTTTGAAAAATACTAACAGATTTATAAAATAGTAAATTAAAAATATATACTTTTTACTCACAGAAGTGTCATTTTTACCCACAAAAATTTTATTTTTACCCTTTGGGGTAATTTATCCCGGTTCCCCGACCGTTGCTGTAAAGTATTTTCTGGACTTCGTTACTCAAAACTGATTTATATAAAGTTTAAAATAAATTCCGCTTACTTTTACTTTGCTTTTGTCAATTTATTCCAGACCTATTTACGCTTGAAAATAAAACAGATCTGAAACTAGTACAATATTATCTAGGTCAGTAGTTAAATAGATGAAATAAACGAAAATTAATGAGTCGATTAAGCAGATTCAACGGTATTAAATTTTACATACTCCCGTAAAACAATAAACTGTATAAAACGATTTTACGACTGGTTTATAAATGAATAATTACTTTATATTCACATTACGTCAATATCAAACACTAGTCCTAAGAACCGCCAAGAAAATATAGATTGAATTTCAAAACCAAGTAATTGGTTGTGATTCTGATCAGTATAGTTGAGTGTCTTAGAAGAATTATTAATAGCTGGTTTCACATTAACCCATTTAAGGACACCGACCTTTAAAAAACCTCGCTACAATTTTAAATTTCAAAAATGAAATTTGTTTTTTAAAAAATATTTTTATTTCTAAGCTACAAATAAATACATCTAAACTGAACAAGACCAAGAATAATAATGATTTTACAATGCGAATAATTAAAGAAACAATATGATAACTTCTAGGGGAAACTGCAGAGTAAGCTGCAGGTGTTGGTTGCGATTCTGCCAGGTCCGGACTTTCGTACCATGTAACTCCTCCATCCTTAAGAGGAAAAAATAACGGAGGTATTTTTGGATTCCAAATTTTGGGGACATCTTTCTTCCAATGGAATTTCGTCAGGAACCTTCTTATTTTTGCAATACTTTCGGTATCTGGTGATGATGTAAATTATAACGATTAGTATTAATATAGATAAGATGACTGAACCGGTGCTGATAAAGGGTGTAGTAGGAAAGCCAATTTCTTCTACTGGTGAAAGATTTCTGGTAATTCTGTTAATTTCGTATAGTCCTTCCATATCGATTTTGCTCAAATTGGTTACTTGATATTTTACCTTTTCAGTCGAGAAATTTTCTAGTTTTGGTAATATTATGATTTTTCCAGATTGGATTCGTGGATTGTTTGAAAATTTTAAGGTTCCAACTTCTATTTCACATTTTGGTGGGATTTCTATTAACGAAGGATCTTTTATTTCCAAAAACGAATTGGACTCACATTTTGAGATTAATTTGACAGTACTGGATGGGATTATTAAGATCTGGTTCTCCATGACGTGCTCGATAATGGGTTCTTGTAGATTTATTTC